GATTAGTGACCGTTAATCGATAATTATTCACAAATCGTGAGATGCGGTCTGGTGTGATGTAGGTTTCAGAAAAACATTTTCCTTATCGTGCCAACGTTTCGATCTTTATTCATATCATCTTCAGGGATTGGGATGATAGTTAAATTTAAACAACGTTTGTAAATCCCAGGCCCTGAAGATGATCTCAATAAAGATCCAAACGTTGGCACGATAAAGAAAATGTTTTTCTGAAACCTACATCACACCAGACCGCATCTCACGATTTCTGAATAATAATAGTACAGTAGTTATTCAGATATCGTGAGATGCGGTCGGGAGTGATGTAGGTTTCAGAAAAACATTTTCTTTATCGTGCCAACGTTTCGATCTTTTATTGAGATCATCTTCAGGGCTCAAAGTGTGTGTCTTCTGTGTAATTGTGCCATCCTTGTGTGTCGTGTTGAGAGTGCCAGTAATAGTACAGTATATACATCTAAATCCTTTTCGTACAAAACGCTTTCTATGGGCCAGAATAAACTCTCCTTATCGAATAAAAACCACACCTATAACCTCATCAGGCATCTGAAGCGCTAATCTTTTAGTGATCTTTAGTGCTTGTGAAAATCACTTGTTGTTAACACCCTCAAGACATTAGAACACACATTCAATACGCATTCACACAAATAAATACATTCACACCTATATACATTGCATTCATTCTATCGAGTACTCATTATTCCTCCATCGACCTTCATTCAATAATGTACTAATCTAATTGGGATCGATGGGGTACTTTATAAATATTACGCCATCGACCCAAGTCCCTAGTACACAGCTCGAAGGGCGATGGGAATGATATTCCATTCACTCTAATAAATACACTCACTCTTACAAAACACAGAAACACAAAACACATATTTTGAAGACTATATACAATAAAACAATCCAATTCCCCCCAAAAAGCGGAACAGGGGACCCTGAAACTCGCTACCGTGTCCGAGAACTAAAGCGGAATGCCTACACGCTCTCTGTATGGAGCCAAGGCATGATACACTTCTGTTATTGGGACACGTCGAGCAACCTTTCTCTTCATAAGGGGCATCTGCACTTTGGCCCAAGAGCAGGAACCCGTGTGTCAACCGCGCATGGCCAATACTCAGAAGGGTGAGGACGATCCCTCGTCTCCTGCTCGGGTTTTCTGAGGGCCAAGCACCGGTCGTGCTCTTGACTCGCAATTGCCTCTCCGACGACCCCGTCCACTCACGCTGCCTTCTTTTATCATGTTTTTCACTGCGTGCTTAGCGTCCGCCAACACAATTTCGAATTTTCCCTCTTTGTCATTTTTCAAATGTCCTGAGATCAGGATTCGGGAAACTGTTAACGAAGGGGGTACTTCTTTAATTATTATATTAATCTATATATGTTAGCGTCATAATTGACCATATTAATTATTCCAATTAATTATTCTTTTAATCTCAACCATGACCTTAGATAAAAGGAATAATTAATTGAAATAATTACCTACATTTTTTTCAATGGTAAATTATGGTATAGTTCATTATTTATCTTGCTCAGAAGACCTCATTTGCATAGCCTGAAAAATCTAGTTGTAAAACATGCATATTTTTACATTTATAAATTTATTCTTTGTTTAAAGCAAAAAATGCTTTAAACAAGCCAAACTGAGCCATCTCATACAGGGTAAAGCTTCTAAACATCGGCTAAACAAACTTTTAATAATTAACGTTTGAAAAATATTCCATTAATTAATTAATATTTGAAAGGATAGGAGGAAAATGAAATAAGCTCGATAGTCTTTGTATCTGTGGTACTTCCTTTACCCAGGCGCGCAGACAATGTGGCGCTGAATATAAGTCCGTTCACATCTCGTTCCAATCAATTATCTCACGAAGTTTCATTTGTTCGGTCTAATACCTATGTATTTTCTATCCACACCATTACAAATAAATAATGCTTCCATATCCTTCCTTTGACCGCTATTTCCTCTCAAACTTTGTACATACGTCAATAAACGCGATTATTTCAAAGCAGAAAGTTCTCCAGAAATCCTGTTATGTTGTATGAGTAACGTTGAGACGTGGAACAAGGGAGAACAAAGCTCATTTTTGAGAGAGCTTACAGATAAATTGACGTGTTTACCTAAACATCTCCAAATTACTCTTCTTCTGAGCTGTTTTCAGCTTTTATACTTAAGACGCGTAAAAATAATATTTTCAGCCTGACACAAAACTTTGTAAACGTCTCCGCTTGAAAAGTAGCATTGGCCAAAAGCCAGTAAATCGAGTCGTGAAGTTTGAGTCCAAATAGTGACTTAAAAGTCCTTCATTAATTTCGCTTATTCTTAAAAATAATTAAATTTTAAAAATCTAATAATATAATGTAATTGTTTGTATTTCTTAGAGTACAATGAAGAGTTAGCTTAATGCTTTATTATAATAACACATAAACAGTCAAAAATAATTAGCCGATTTTTCAGACTTTAAGTAAACGTACTTTCTTTCCACAAAGAGATACAGTTATTACTACGTAGTTTGGAAAATTGGGTGAAAAGTAGTTTTTGATTTCATAGCCGAAAGCACGGCACCCGAAGAATTCGTACTTTGTAGCTTTAATAAGGGAACTTCGTGGGAAACATGAATTATGAATTTCTTAAGCAGTAAGTCTAGGGAAAGTTTAAGAGAGAGAGAGAGAGAGAGAGAGAGAGAGAGAGAGAGAGAGAGAGAGAGAGAGGAGAGAGAGAGAGGAGAGAGAGAATGTAGACGAAGGGAGAGTAAACGAATGGGAAATTTACAATGGAGTCAAACAAAATGAAGAAGTAAAGGAGAGAAATGAAGTTATGGAAAAGAAAGAGAAAGTGAGAAAGAAAGTCAGATAAACTGAAGGAGAAAGAAACAGCGAAAAAAGTAAGCGAAAGTGTGAAAATGAGAAGGAGAGACCAAAATTTGACAGTGCAAAAGCAGAGAGATAGACAGAAGAAGAGGGAAGACCTAGTGAGAAGAAGGTGATAGATTGAGAAAGAGGGGCAGTCAGACAAAAGAAAATGAAAGAGAAAGAGGTAAATGGTAAGAGAAACAGAGAAATCTAAGGTGAGGGATGGAGGAAGAGAGTTAAAGTGAAAGAGGGGTAATAGAGTGGGGAAAAATAGTCAGAAGGAGAAAGAAATTGTAAAAAAAATAATGACAAATAAGGAAATAAGAAATAGAAGAGAGAAATTGAGAAATAGGGCAAAGAGACGTAAGAAACGGAATGATAATGAGATAGAGAATATGTTTGTTTGTTTGTGTGGGTGTGTGTGGGTGTGTGTGTGTGTGGGCGTGTGTGTGTGTGTGCGTGTGTGTGTGTGTGTGTGTGTGTGTGTGGGCGTGTGTGTGTGTGTGCGTGTGTGTGTGTGTGTGAGAGAGAGAGAGAGAGAGAGAGAGAGAGAGAGAGAGAGAGAGAGAGAATGGTATGGTTTCATTCAACCACTTTACTTAAATATACCCCATTCATAAGCAATTCTGTTAAATAAGGTATCTGTAATATAACGGTCAAAGTTTAAGCCAACAATAGTTTAACTCAATGTAAATTGAAAAGTAACAAAAAAATTATATGGGGAGCGTCGGTGGCCACAACGTTTTAGGCGCTCATCACTGTAAGGTAAAGGTCCCGGGTTCGAATCCAGCGGCCCTGCATTCAATCCCGTCGTACTAATGGCCCTGAGGGTTTACATGGCATCTGCAGTTGCGAACCCCGCATAAAAAAAAGAAAACTAAGCAGTAAACAAACACCCTTGTCTGGATTTTTGATGTGTGATTTTTTTGGGAGATATTCTATTGTTAAATAGTTTCTTGTGTTAATGAATAATTAACATTTTTATAAATAAACAAACAAAGTGATAATAAATAAAATAAATTTCTGTTATAATAATTAAATAAAAATAGAGGAGAAAATGATGGGAGATCAACAAATCAAAATTTTTTTCGAAAAAAAATTTATCCCCGGGCTGTAATCGTTAGATTTGACTAGAAATCTATCGAATCCGTAACAATTTTCGAGAATTTAAACGCGTGGTTGCGATAGTCGAAATCCGGCTCGTAAATTCCGTTAAAGCTTGGAAGTGGGCTGTCGTCCTTCGGCCCGATTGAATTTTACACTCCAGCGTATACATTTATGAAATATGTGCAATTTGTCCGCCGGCCGTTTGGAAATAATAGTTATGTAACTGTTTCAAGTCTTTTATGCCTCATAATCTTAATTGACGATGTGTATCATTTGGCCGATTATGATTAATAACTAGCTAAAAGCCTCGTCAAACTATTTTTCTTTTTTTTGGGGTCCTTTGGGACTGCTTCTCAATATCTGTAAGGTAACCAAGTGATTATTCTATCAACTTTTATTATTTTTTATCATGTTATTCTTAATTATACATATACTCTATAATATCTCTCTATAATGTGTGTTTAAAAAGATGTATTGCCAGACTCCGTGGTGTCTGGATTATAAGCTGGGAAAGGCAAAAATTTGACCCCTTTTTGAAAATTTTCTTACTTCAAAGTCATAATCATAGTTTTTCAAACACTAATATCTCACAAACTAAGAAATTTAAATGAAAAAAAAATCAGGTGAAGGGAAATTCAGGGCGAAGCAATATATTGCTTTATGCACGTTTTCTTGTTGCTGTGTCGTTAAGCAGTTATTCAATTATGCGTTTTAAAACAAATTCAAAATATGACTTTTTTTAAATAGTTTAAATAAACGAAATTATGCTTTTTACTAGCTACTACCAAATTTTAGTAACTCCAGACTATGGTGCTTTTTAAGGATTTTTAACAAAATCGACCAATTTTTTAATTTTGAAGGGATTTGCTCGGACCCATTTTGCTTGGACATCTGAAAACTGAAATCCCCAAAGCTATTTTCCATAATGGTCTTGGGAATGAATAAACCATTACTTGGTTAATCCAATGTTTACGGTTAATATTATTTTGAAAAAACAGGTGTAATTATACGTTTTTTTGAGGAAATTTGGCCACACTTCGACCGTGGTTTATCCAATTTTACCGTATATTCTGAGCACCAAGTATCCCGAGAAAATGAATAAAGTGTAATATCGTCAACAACAATCATGAGTAATAAACAAGCTAATGGCCGTAAGACGTATCCTGGGGTACCACTGTTTGGCACTAATCTTGGAAAATGGTTCATTCCATTCACCGTTGATCTCCCAAGCCTTACCACTAAAGAATTATGAGGTATTTTGTAACCTAATCTTTTTGAGAACCGTGAGTTCTATCGTGTATAAAAATTTGAGTCACAGGCGGAATTCGAACCCACGAACTTCGGCTCAAAACGCCGCTGCTCCAATCACTTGAGCTACCGTGACTTCGATCGCCCATACCACAAACTTCTTTGTGGGTTTGAGTCACGCTTGTGACACAAATTTATCATTTTTGAAAAAAATCGTGTTTAATTAATTGAGCATATGATTATTATTCGGAAATCGTGAGATGCGGTCTGGTGTGATGTAGGTTTCAGAAAAACATTTTCTTTATCGTGCCAACGTTTCGATCTTTATTGAGGTCATCTTCAGGGCCTAGGATTTATAAACATTGTATAAATTCACTTTTTTACATATCCTACATGTATTTGTTCAATTTAAACAATGTTTGTAAATCCCAGGCCCTGAAGATGACCTCAATAAAGATCGAAACGTTGGCACGATAAAGAAAATGTTTTCTGAAACCTACATCACACCAGACCGCATCTCATGATTTCCGAATAATCATCGACTAACGGTCACTAATCACCACACATATGATTATTGCATATTCGAGGGTTCTCATTCCTTTAATGAAAGTCACATTTTTAATCGATTTTCTTCACAGCATTTCACAAACTTTTCGGCCGTTTATTTCACTTTGAAGCACGTTTTCTGGCCGGCCTGATCAGATTTTTATGGTATTACCACAAAATCTTTAACTTAAATTCAGTTCAATATTTTCTTTTATATCAACAGGCCTTCGAACACAGACGATTGGCAATAATGAATCAGCAAAAATCATCATCGGATCAAACCTATGAAGCTATTTAGCTGTCGAAATACGTCTGAGTAACACCAAGCAAACCATAGACGGGCCAAACATACGTGCCTAGCCGATCGACTAATTTCGCCTGAAAAAACACATGTCCACGTGGTCAAAACCGCAAAATGGTGTGTTTGCCCCCAATGATATAATCTATCTCTATTATGGAGATTATGACGTAAGAGTGTAAACATTTTCAGATAGCATAATTAAGCCCCCTATTAGACGCCCGCAATAGGAATCGTTAATTATCCTTAGATCATAGGGTTTCGTTGATTTGAAATTGAAATAGCTTCGTCTCTTTTAAATTGTTACAGGTAAGAGCAGGATTTTTGTTGACTTTTGCGGATGATAGTGTTGTTGATAAATAAATAAAATGAATAGTCATACTAGGTGAAAATTAATAAACATTTAGGCACATTAGAATAGACTCTTTTGTTTATACAATAATATTCATAGGGGAGTCGGTGGCCGCAACGGTTTAGGCGTTGACACGGCGCTCATCACTGTAAGGTAAAGGTCCCGGGTTCGAATACAGCGGCTCTGCATTCGAACCCGACATACTGACAAATGAGCTTTATTTTCAAAAACACCGGCACCTCGAGGGTTTATATAACCTCTGCTGTTGCGAAAAAAAATCATAGTTTGTATTGACTAATCAATCCTTTGTATAATTATGTTCCTAAGCCGTCATTGTATTTTATTCGTTGTCCATTACAACAAAAAAGGCCGAAATATACCGAAATTTACTTTTATCCGACAATCCACTAGAAAAAGATCCAAGTTAGATGACAGCAGCTGAAGGAATTTATGGTGGAGGGGAATCGTTACACTTTCTGCTGAAAGTGGAACTGAACACGCATAGAAAAAAGAAATCTCAATCTGACTGATACGCTAAGCTTTATTTAAATAAAAAAGTTGATGGTATTTTTAATAAAGGAAGACAAAACTTTAGATGCCATGGAAATCATCGATATATCTGATTATTTAGCGGTACGAGATTAACAACGCACCATAGAACCTCTAGTTTACAAACTACGTCATAATTCTTTGGTAATAAGGCTTGGGAGATAAACGGTGAATGGAATCAACACCAGTTTCCGAGATAAGTGCCAATCAGTGGTACCCCAGGATAAGTCTTACGACCATTAGCTTGTTATTACTCACGATTGTTGCTGACGATATTACAGTTTCTTCATTTTCTCGGGATTAGTGCCCAGAATATACGGTGAAATTGGATAAACTAGGGTCGAAGTGTGGCCAAATTTCATCCCTATATTACACCTTTTTTTTTCCAAAATAATATTAATTGTAAACATGGATTCGCCAAGTAATGGTTTATCCATTATTTGCCAAAATCATTATGGAAAATAGCTTTGGGAATTTCAGTTTTCAGATGTCCAAGCAAAATGGCTCCAAGCAAATCCCTTCAAAATTAAAAAATTGGTCGATTTTTCAAAAATCCATAAAAAGCACCATAGACTAGGATTATTAAAAGCTAGTAAAAAGCATAATTTCATTTATTAAAACTATTTAAAAAAAGTCATACTTTGAATTTGTTTTAAAACGCATAATTGAATAACTGCTTAACGAAACAGCAACAAGAAATCGTGCATAAAGCAATGTATTGCTTCTCCCTGCATTTCCCTTCACCTGATTTTTGGTTTGCATTTAAATTTCTTTGTTTATAAGAGATTAGTGTTTGAAAAACTAAGATTATGACTTTGACGAAAGTAAAATGTTCAAAAAGGAGTCAATATTTTGCCTTTCCCAGCTTATAACCCAGACACCAGGGATTCTGGCAATACATTTTTTTAAACACTGTCTCTATGAGAATAACGCGTTTGGAAAACTATATCTCTTTGAACTAAGCAACTAACTATGCACTTCTGAGGAATGATTTTTTTGTCTTGCCTCTATCATAACCCTAACTCTCCCTCCGGTCGATAATTTATGTTTCCGTTCGATTCTCTTTTTATGAGAGGGAAAAGCGTTTGGAAAATAATGAATATATCTTTGAACTAGATACCATTCTTAGAAAGGAATTTTTGTTTTGCCTCTCCCTGCTTATACTCAGACGCCACTCCATCTGTCAATTTATTTTTCCTATCTATATCCCTGTTTAAAAAAAAAGTTTAAAAAACTGTAAATATATCTTTGACCAAAGTACATATATTTTTCAAATAGTAACCAATATTTTGCCTCGTTCAGCTTATTCCCTAACGCCACGTCCTCTGACAATTTATGTTTGTATCAATGTCCCTGTTTATGAGCGAAACACGTTTAGAAAACTATGAATATGTGTTTGAACCAGGCAAAAGTTTTTAAAAGTGTCAATATTTTGCCTCTCCCTACTTATCTCCTTGACGCCACCCCACTGATAATTTATTTTTTCTACCTACGTCCCTGCATGAGAGAAAAGCGATTGGAAAACTATGAATATGTATTTGACCTAAGAAAAATTCTCAGAAAGGAATTAATATTTTGCCTACTTAAAACCCCGACTCTACTCGAATTGTAAATTGATAGAAAAAATCAATATCTCGTTTTATGTGAGAAATGGTTGGGAAGCATTAAAAGAGTCTTTGAACTAGAAGCAATTTTCAGAAAAGTGTCAATATTTAGCCTCTTCCTGCTTATAACCCTAACGAAACGCCCTCTGACAATTTTGACAGATAAAACATTTGATTTTTTAAATAAAAATTTTTAAAATGGAGTCAAAATTGTCTCTGCTTATAACCGTGACTTCTGGTAATTTGCTTTTGTTATCAATATTTCTGTTTATGAGAGAAAAGCGTTTGAAAAAACGAATATGTTTTGAACCAGATAAAATATTTTGAAAATATTGACTATTTTGCTTATCCCAGCTTATATTTCTTAAACCACGTCATATAACAGTTTAGTTTTCTGATCAATGTCTCTGTTTATGAAGGCAACGTATGGAAGATCATAAATTTTCCAGTCAATATTCTGCCTTGTCCTACTTGTAAACCGGACTCCACGAAATCTGACAATTTAATTTTTTTATTAATGTTTCAGTTTATGAGATAAAAGCTTTTGATTTGTTTATCTTTATCCTAGGAAAAAATTTTCTAAAAAAATTACATTCTGTATTAGAGCGAATTTGTGAGAATGTAAATATGACACGTGAGAATTTTATGGCCTAGAAATTTGAAGGAGTTCAACCTTTTTTATTATATTCCTCTATATTTAACTCGTACATTGTTTTATTACAATTTTTGCATCAAAAATATCACTGCAGGATCTAACATGAATCGTCCGCCTCTGCTTATTTTAGATTGACGACTTTACACCTTTACTTCATTTCAACACGGGCTTTATCAATAAGAAGTAAATCCCGAAGTTCAATCACGACCTGCCACGAAACTAGACGGACCAAGGAGTTCCAGTAAGGCAGAAAATATCGACATGCCCTCGGGCTTTCAACATGGATATATTTTTTGACTGGTTGAACATTTTTTTCAGGGCCAATTTCGCTTCAACGGTTTCACTTTCTTGGTTAGGTTAAGGTCCCAGGATAAGTTGGGTTAGGTTAGGAATGGTTACGGGCGGTTGGTAAGTTAAGGTTAGAAACCGGTTAGTTTACATATACAGGATTCAAGGTTTTTCCTTAAAGCGGAAAAAATATGCGAATGTAAAGTGCAAGTTCAGCTAAGACTCGTGGTAATCATTGTTTTTATTTTTGTCATTCTTTCAATTTTGGCCATTTTTCCAGTTTTTAAAAAACATTTTAAAACCATTGAAAGGCCGAACGTATCCAACCAACCATTTTCGGCTTGTACTTTTCTACCTCATTATATCTCTACGGTTTCAATTGAAATATTTTTCCTGTGTAGAAAAAGGTTGAAATTTCATAAGTTGTCCATGAAAAGGAAAAATGTTTACTCAAGTTCTATTCAGGGGTATCAACTTTTCTCGATTAATTGTGATGTATTATAATTGAGAAATTACGCTACTGTTAACGAGTGTATTTTACATCGCGTAACATTTTAATGTTTTGCGTTAAGATTTTTTTATAAGCTTTTTTTTATATAATATTATTAAGACATGAGAACAATGTAATTATTTTTATTTTAAATGAAATTTTTATAAAATACGTAATAATAAGTTTTCAACATGTTTAGGTTTTTAGGCTGGATACATATTTCCGTTGTCATTAACGCCTCATCGATTACGAATCACCTGGGAGTGCACATGGTTCCAACCCACTAGGTTAGGTCAGAAAAGGTTAGGTTAATATGGTTAGTTTTAGGTTAAGGGCCAATTTACAATGCCAGCTATGCGTTGCGATAAAAGCTGAAATCACAAAGAAAGTTTGTCACTGACTTTATATGCAACCTGTTTAACGCTGCAAGCGAAGCCATGAGACTCCGTGGGATGGAGTTGCTATAATCGTAATGATTTTATGTTTCATGCCATCTGGACGAGCTTTTTTAAAAAAATATTTTCGCTGCAAAACAGAAGTGAAGCAATAAATATTAATGTTTGTGACGCATTAGATCCGTAATTCTATTATGAAGAAATAATTATACAGTTAAAAATAAAAGTGATCTCATATACCAAGATGCATATTACTGCCGAGAATTACCTAATTGTGAATGACAATTTTTATTAAACTATCTATTAGTTTAGGCAAAACTTGGCTCTGTGTCTCTGCCGTAGGGTGTGGCTCGATAAGTCGTGCAGTAGAGATGGGAAGTTGGTGTCCGAGAGGATCGAGCTACGATAGCTCAAGAGGTAGAGCAGCGGCGTATCAAGCGAAAGATCGTGGGTTCGAATCCCGCTCTTGCCATTGACTTTTTTATCTCAACTAAAAATTTTAATTAATCGTAATATATTAATTAGTCAAGCGGACCATGAAATTAGTGAAATTAAGTATAAGACTTTAACTTAATCCATTAAAAAATTGCTCCTTTTTTGTGGCAGTTTGAAATTTGATTGGTTCTTGGTTCTACAGATGATGCCCGCATGTCACGATGTAAACGCTTTGTCAAAGACAAGTTATAAAATTATTTGGAGATCGTGAGATGCCGTCTGGTGTGACATAGGTTTTAGAAAACCGTTTTCCTTATCGTGCCAACGTTTCGATCTTTATTGAGATCATCTTCATGGCCTTGATTGTTGGCGATACATATGAACACCAAGAAATGAGTATTCTGAAGGACATCACTAACAAGGAAAAGAAACTTGCATCGGATATCAATCAGAGAACTTTTTGTTGAAATGAAGACATCACAAGGCCCCGAAGATAATCTCAATAAAGATCGAAACATTGGCACGATAATAAAAAACGTTTTTGTAAAACCTACGTCACACCAGACCGCATCTCACGATCTCCAAATAATCATTAACTAACGGTCACTAAACACTACACAAATTATAAGGTTAGGCAAGGTTGGAGTTAGGGTTATGAACGGGTTAGAGATGGGTTAGGTTTGGTTAGGTTAGGGTTAGCATTAGGGAAGATAGTAGATTCAATAATTTTCTCTGAAGAGGAAAAATATGCGAGTCCGAATAATAAATAATTATATTCAAATAACGAAGAAACTAAAGTATCTGTAACCGAATATACTCAACAATTTAGTTTCTCAAAATGTATGAAAATATAAAAATATTGTCTTTCAAATATATACACATGGTGGTTTCTTGTGAGATGAAATAGTTGGGGCGATGATAGACTGTTAAGACGGTAGAATGTCGAAAGAGAAGGGGTTTTCTAGCTAAGAAAATAGGCTTTGTTACTATTATTTTTTCAGGAAAAAATACGACTTATTACACAAAAACCTGATTTTTAATTACCTATGCATTTTGTATAAAAATCGAGGTCGTTTTTATACTCTGCGTTGAATTTTCTAAATAATGAATCATCGACTAAATCTTTTCACCACACCTGATAGCAGATTCTGGCATAAACCTGTAAAACTGAAATATTGCAAGATTTTTCAATAATTTCAAAAATTCACTACCATGCGACACAACCTCCTAGATATGTGCGTATTTCAAAATGAATGTAGGATCTTTCGGCAGATCAAACGGAAGTACTGGAGACCAAACTCCCCCTTGTGTCATGAAAACTTACTGTTTAAGTCATGGGGAAATTTTTCTTCGTATTTTTGAGAGAATATCACAGTATCCTAGGTCCAATCCTCTACACCATCTACATTGCTGACATACTTACACGTCCAAACACACAAATCACAACTTACGCGAACGGCACCGCAATCTTATCAACACAGTCCAATCCTATCATAGCGACAGAAGCACTCCAACAACACCTGAACCTTATTACCAACTGGTGCAATCTGTGGCGGATCAAGTTAAACGAACAAAAAAGCAATAAGTTACGTTTACGCTGAAACGTCAAACCTGTTCACCAGTGCACATTTGCAAGATAATACCACCACCGAACCATGTCCGCTACTTACATCGAACCCACATACAAGATTAAAACGGCAAGAACTTAACAAAAGAAATGGACTACTCAGACACCTACTCGGACCAAGCATGCATAACAAACTAACCGCTTACAAAACACACATAATTTGGACCTAAGGAGCTGGGGGGCTCGGCCAAATCTTCTAATATCAAACGAATTCAATCTTTTCAATCTAAAGTTCTCCGCCGTATCTTCAATGCTCCATTCTATGTCACCAATCAAACGATCCATAAAGATCTTAAAATCTCTTTCGTGAAAGATCTTATCCGAAGACTTCACTTTCCTCTCTAAACTATCCCTTCATCCTAACCCACTAGCACTCTTTCCTCAACGTCTCACCCTTGCAATCCGCGCCGTTTAAAACGACGATGGCCTCGTGACCTTCTATCTAACCTATCGAATTAACTTTAAAAACATCCCCCCCAATTAAATAAAAGTTCCAGCACTGGTTAGTTTCTCTCCCCACTGCCTCCTGGTCTGACAGGTCTGTCAGATTTGTTTAATATTTGCTCAGTTTATATTTTGTACAGATAGAAATAAATTTTCATTACAAAAAAGAATATGTTTTTTTACAAGCAGAATTAAAACTATCCATTAAAGAAGATTGAATCGAGGCACTCTAATGCCGGGAGCCCGTTCGTGCGGCAGGTTCACTTAGTTACAATCCGTTACTCCTCACGCGATGTCCAGCAGGCTCTGTGATTTCTTTCACCGTAAAGTCGATTTGGGCTGTAAAAGGTCCCAGATTTTGCGTTATACATTATTCAATTTTGTCGTAGCAGGACTGATAGTCTGCAAGTCAACTGATTTCCCTATAAAGAAACAATAATCCTTCTTCAAAACCAGCTGTTTTCATTTAAGTCTCTATTTTAATGTGTGGTATTTAGTGACCGTTAATTAATGATTATCTGGAGATCGTGAGATGCGATCTGGTGTAACGTAGGTTTAGAAAAATATTTTCTGTATCGTGCCAACGTTTCGATCTTTATTAAGATCATCTTCAGAGCTTGGGATTTATAAACATTGTTTAAATTATACAAATACAGGTAAGATGTGAAAAAATCAAAGTATAAATGATAGAAATTTTAGACTCAATAAAAGTTGTTGTTTTTTCTGTGTAGATCTGTCATTACTGTCTGTCGTGTTGAAAGTGCCAGTGAGATATTGTTTTTTGTTTATATACATCCTTCAAAATCCGACTATAATAATAATCTCTATTTTAACTTCAATCGAAATAGATCAACATTTTAAAAATTGTATATTCTCGTCGGAGTGAGTTGAAAAACCAGTTTTTGCCGTTTTATACTCGTTTATAAACCATCGCCCATTTTTGCTTCTCATAGCGGCTCGCTGTTCAAATTTTGATTTTTTAAAAAGATTTTCGATTTTTATTGAATCAAAACAAGTAAACTTAACAATATTAAGAAATAATGATTAAAAATAGGGAAGTTAAATAGTACTAAAAAAACAACCGTGGATGAATTTTAAATTACATAACATTTTGCATAAATTATGTCTAAATTATAAATATTTATGTTCATTAATAAAGACAAAATATTTAAAAGAAACAAAAAACTCAGACAAACACTTTGAGCCCTGAAGATGATCTCAATAAAAGATCGAAACGTTGGCACGATAAAGAAAATGTTTTTCTGAAATCTACATCACACCCGACCGCATCTCATGATATCTGAATTACTATCGATTAACGGTCACTAATCTCTACAACAAAAAATATCATTTACAAAAACTAAAAGGAAATAACCTTTAGCCTATAAAAAAATACAAATTTTTTGATTGAAATTATAAAAACAAAATATAAATAAATTTTCTCACGAATGTAAATTAAAAATTGTTTTAATAACAATCAATAACAGGAGTGTCGATGGCCGTAACGGTTTAGGCGTTGACACGGCGTTCATCATTGTTAGGTAAAGGTCCTGGGTTCGAATCCAACGGCCCTGCATTCGAAATACTTACAAATGGGCTTTTTTTCAAAAACACCGGCGCCCTGAGGGTTTATACGATCTCTGCTGTTGCGAACCCGCGAAAAAACAATCAATTAAAGAAATATAAATCTGTAATAATTTTTAAAAATCAGTCAATAATACTGTCGCAATCTGACCAGACCGGGCTTTCGTTTTACAAATTGGCTTTAAGTTATTTACGATGTTGAATCGAATAGAATTGCCTAGTTAGATATACTTGCAGGTGTCTTTTCAATCAACTTATATTTTATTTGAAAATCTTTGGAAAAGTTTTGAAATTTTCTTTAAGTTTCTCGTTGTAATTCCTTCCCCCCTCAGAAAGAACAAAAGAACACGAAAGAAAAGGGTTTTGACGAAGGGGTCATTATGTTTTGAATTCGTTATTTTGCTATTCGTCGTCTGGCGTCTCTTGCATAACTTCATTACCTAACTTTAACCGTATTGATCTGAGTGTGTCGGTGTGATTATACCGTTGTCTCTACGACCACTCCCCCGCAATGACCATACAGCGTTGGCCAATTTTTTTGCCCACTCGTCACGACTGTTCCCAGGGCTTGTGTTCCGTGGAAAACAAAGGCGGAGACGTTGGAAAAGAGGAAAATCAATTTGAACCAATTGAGCGAGTTCGGACGCCAGATTATTCTCTCAGCCTACGTTTAATTAAGCGGGACGATGTACCACAAACACGTAGGCTCGCAGGATGGCCGTCTAACAAATTTTAAAATCGGCGGAAATTTTGGACAAAACAGAACCAAAAATTTAGACTACGAATTACCTTCAGATGCGATACCAATCGATGTGAGTAAAGTATGGAGTATTTTCTTTCGATACCGAGTACTTTTGGTATCGAATATTGTTTCGATACAAGTACTATGTCGAATACTTTTTTGTAGTATCGGAAAATATACTCAAACAGATTTTTCGTCGAGTGTTCAAGTAATATTGAATTGTTATTTACGGTTCGAAACTTACCTTTCATCAA